GGTCGGCGTGTTCATCACATGGACGCTCAAGTTGGCGTTCCTTAACGGCGCGACTTGAAGGAGGAGGTCTACGTGCACCAGCCGCCGGGATTTGCGATCCCCGGCAAGGAGGGCAAGGTGCTCCGCCTGCGCAAGGCCCTCTATGGCTTGCGGCAGCCACCGAGGGCGTGGAATGCCAGGTTGAATTCCACGCTAAAAGGGATGGGCTTCGAGCAAAGCCCGCACGAGGCGGTCATCTACCGACGAGGCAGTGGAGGAAATGCTCTGCTGGTGGGTGTCTACGTCGACGACTTGGTGATCACCGGCACCAAGGATGCGGAGGTGGCGGCATTCAAGGAAGAGATGAAGGCCACCTTCCAGATGAGTGACCTGGGGCCTCTCTCCTTCTACTTGGGAATCGAGGTGCACCAGGATGACTCCGGGATCACGCTTCGACAGACCGCCTACGCCAAGCGCGTCGTTGAGCTAGCTGGGTTCACGGACTACAACCCAGCTCTCACTCCGATGGAGGAGAGGCTGAAGCTGAGCCGCGACAGCACGATTGAGGTGGACGCTATGCAGTATCGGCGTCTTGTGGGGAGCCTTCGCTACCTCGCCCACACACGGCCGGACTTGTCTTTCTCCGTCGGCTACGTTAGTCGGTTCATGCAAATGACCGACGACGGAGCACCAAAGAAGGTCAGAAGAGGATCATCCGCTACGCTGCGGGACTCGACCACGGCCTCTACTACCCTAGGTGCCACGGGGCGGCACACTTCGCGTCGAATGCAAGCGATAGCGACCACGCCGGCGACATCGACACCAAAGAAGAGCACGAGCGGGATCCTCTTCCTCCTCGACAAGTGCCTCGTTAGTCGGCGATCGGTCAAGCAGCAGGTGGTGGCCTCTGCCCACCAAGCGAGGCCGACTACATAGCGGCCTCCACCGCTTCGACTTCTCAGCGCCTGCTCGCTTCGATCGCTTGGTGATTTATCGCGAAGAAGGCTCTCCTTATTCAGTCATTTTTGCAGCAACCCATCGCTCCCCGTGAGAAGGAACTTCCCGCCAGGTGGTGATGGGCCCCGAGAGAGATCAGGCTCATCGCCGTCGGCGACCTTGAGGCGACCTATCGCCTCCTCGATCGACATCGTGGAGAGATCCAGCAGGACTCGATCGAGCGAGCCATCTGCTTGTACTTCTCGGGGGCCGCAGCCGGAAGAGCTTTCGACGCAGCTCTCTCCTCGCCGTAGGTGTCATCGCCGAATCGCACCATTTTCTCGCAATGAGTGTTGAGACGGAGGCAAAGTCATCAACGCCCTCACACGGCTTGAAGGCCGTGTTCTCCCACTCCTCGCGAAGTGCTGCGCAGTGGACTTGCGGGCGCGGTCGCTGCCGATGCGTGCCGCAGCGATGGCGTCCCAAACCTCCTTGGCAGTCCGCTTCTTGGTAAGCGAGAACTGCATCTCGGACGGGATTGCAGCGATGAGGGCATCCAGCGCCCGTCGATCTTGGTCGTAGTCGACGTCGCCGTACCGGACTGCCTCCCACACGTGTCGCACCTGGAGCTTTACCCTCATCACCGCAGCCCACTCGACGTAGTTGGTCTTAGTGAGGGTAGGCCACCCACCGCCGGGGCCGACGTCCCTGACAACAGCCTGGAGCTTGTGGTAACCATGGTACCGATTCGGGGAGAGAGAGCCACGCTGCCTGTGAAGGCCGCGCTCTCCATCGACCCATCCGCCACCGTGGCCGTGCGCGCCTCCTCCAGGAGCGCCGCCGGCGCGTCTACGCCTGTCTAGGCTGCCGCCGCGCTCGTGGGCGTGCGCGGCTGCCCATTGCGCCGCCCGCACTCGCGCTGCCTCCCTCCCCAGCAGCTCGAGGTCCGCGTCGGCGCTGTCGTCAGCAGATTTGAGCTGGTGATGCTGCCGCGCAGAACCTCGACCTCCGCTGCCGCCGCACGCGCTGCATTCGCCGCCGCCGCCGCTTCCGCCTCCGCTCTGGCTACTGCCAGCTCCGCCGCTGCCATCCTCGACGCCCTTGCCGCCACTGCAGCGGTCTCTGCCGCCGCTCGCTCGCGTTCCTCTGCCGTGGCAAGTTCGGCCTCCTGCCGACACCGCGTGCTCGAGGCGACCGAGCGCTGAGACTGTCCTGCGGACATGACGCGCTACCGGGGGGCTGCTGCGTGGGGAGAGGGCTGCTTCAAACGAGTTGATGCTCGTCTGCGCAGAGGGAGAGGAGTGAGCAGGAGCGGTCGGAGCTGCTGCTGCTCCCAGGTGGGGCTGTTGCGAGGTTGGGAAAGGAGATGAGCGGGAGATGCTCAGGCTACAGGATAGTACGGCTCCGATACCAGTTGTTAGTCGCTGAATTCTTACTCTTGGTAGTAGCAGAATTCTTACTCTCATCGAGAGAGGATGACATTAGGAGTTGGGGCAATTTTCTGGTTTATTTCTCACACAAATGCCATACCAACTTGAGGGGTTGGGAATACATATTTATAGGCTGCTAGCCAGCCAAGCATATGCCAAGATGCTAGATGCTAAGATGCTGTCCTAAAACAGATGCTGTCCTAGATGCTAAGATGCTGTCCTAGCCAGTCAAGGATGCTGTCCTTGATGGGCAGCAAGACCACCATGCAGCCACAAGGACCATATGCTGCAACCCCACAAAGACCAGCCAATACAGAGACTTATCCCATCAATATGCTATTGAGTTGTGAGTTTTGTGTTATTGCTCCTTCTCTAGTACTCCACCCATTCCAAATTATAAGACATTTTGACATTTTTAGATACATTACTTTTATTATGTATCTAGACATAGTGTATATTTAAGTGCATAGCAAAAGTTATGTATCTAGATAGACTAGAAAAGCCAAAACATATTATAATTTGGAATGGAGGGAGTACTATTCTTTTATGGCAATGAGCATTCAGCATTCATGGAACCTTTAAAGTTTCTTTAATACTAGTAGTGCTTATGTAATTCATGTCAGAGAATGTATCATAGTGATTTTTCATTTGTCCAAAAGTAAATAAAACACGGATCAGGACTTCAGGAGTTCTCTTTCAGCATGACTGGAATGATAAATGATCCTTCCAAGCTACTTTTTATATTTCAATTCTGTAGTGATTTAATTATCAAGGACAGGGGTACCTTCACTTAAGCTATATGTTAATGAAGTAATCAACATTGGCTTGTACTGATCTGTTGCTAGATGAAGATGCATATTTAGGAACTTAGTTGAGCATGGAAATGAGGTAGGTTCAAGTGCAACATGTTGCAAAAAACGACTTATTGCTTGAGGGGTTCTCTCTACATTAGCTTTTGCAACCCTTCATGCAAGTGAAATACGCAAGCTTCTAAATTGTGGATGTTAGTTAATAGCAGATCAGCATATTGGATATTGGGAGGTATGATCCCATCTTGGCAACTGAAGTGTCTTCATATTTTCTTCAACTATTTATGCAACATGTTCTTTTGCTACCAAACCTTAAGCATCAAAAGTATATACATTTTAACTTTTATTAAGTTTTGGCGCTTTACAGCCACATTTTTATTTCAAGGACAGATTTTATTTTCTACTAATGGGAATTTACTAGTTAAAAACTACACACAAACTCGCAAATTCTTTTCACTTTCAATCAATTGTACAATTGAAGCAAGTGGCCTTTAAAGTTTTAGAAGCATAGCGAAATATGTTGGTGACATCTTGAATCTTTACAGTAAGATCTACTATTGTAGCATAGTAAATAATAAAACTAAGGTGCCCCCCAACAAAAATTATGTATTATTTTTCTGATTATATTTAATTGTACTCAAGCATGCACAAATAGGAGCATAATGGTTGTGTGAGACTGATATATTGGTGAAGTTTTCTGCCATATTTTGCAATATACTGGGCCATTTACTGCTGTTCCAAGCTGATTTATTCGATATGCCATATTGGCATCTTCTAGTGACTGATATTGACATGTCCTACATGCTGGCCAATACAACTGATATTTACTACTCCCTCCATTCCAACTTATAAGATGTTTTGGCTTTTCTAGACACATTGTTTTTACTATGTATCTAGACATAATGTATATCTAAGTACATAGCAAAATCTATGTATCTAGAAAAGCCAAAACATCTTATAATTTGGAATGGAGGGAGTAGCTTGGTGCCACCAACTATTGGTGGAAACATGGAGCATTCTATTTTCATGGTGCCTGCTTCTCTTAAAGATCTATGGAAAAAGGGACCACTTGCAATGAAGAGCTTACGTTTTCCCTCTTTGTATCGTGGACATAGATAGTACTCCCTCCATTTCAGAAAGGTTGCAGTTCTAGTTTTGTCCAAAGTCAAGTCTTTCTATCTTTGATCATCAATTTCTAGAAATTTGTATGATTTAATATCATAAAATTATTTATTTAGATTTACCATGAGAAATAATATAAAATTTGCATGTTAAACTATATGAATTTGCAAGAGTTGATGGTTAAGGACAGAATTGTTTGACTCAAGACAAAACTCGAACTACAACCTTTCTTTTTGAAAGAGGGATTATATCTTGCCACTAGGACTAGTAAGACCACTGTTAAAACTTCCTAGGTCAACTATGAAAGGGAAACAATCAAATTAAAATATTGTAAAAATTGAGAACATGTTTTTTTTTCTTGAAGTTCCACATTAATATTTTTCCCGAGTAGTTTAGGAATTTGGTTTGCTAAAGTTTTTATGTAGTTAGATGACAGAATCGTCAGCGAAAAGACTAGATTGATCTTGTTTTCTACAGTTTGGTGTGGTGGTGTTTTTTTTTTTTTTTCGGGGACTGTCTCTTTTGTGTATTCTCTTATCTCTTAATGAAGTGATACGCTGATCTCTTGCATGTCCGAGAAAAATAATCATCGGCTCCACAAACTAGTTTAATGCTTTGCTTAAGGTACTGGTTTTAATTTATCTATCTTGTAGTTTAATGTCCTGGGTTTCTAATTGTAGGCTTATGATAAGCTATGAGTGTGCCACCACCTACCAGTGCCAGAATGGATGGGAATAGTGAGAAAATCCAATTCTCATGGGGGAAGTGTATAGCAAAAGGTGTTAAAACAGGTTCACGATACTATGAGTCCTTCACATTTGACAATGTGAAGTATTCGTTGTATGACTGTGTCTACCTGTTTAAGCATGGTGATCCTGAACCATACATTGGGAAAATTGTTAAGACTTGGGAGCAAAATCAGTCTAAGAAAGTAAAAATTCTTTGGTTTTTCCTCCCTGGGAGATTCAGAAATATTTAAGAGGCCCTGTGATGGAAAAGGAGATTTTTCTTGCTTCTGGTGATGGTAGTGGGCTTGCGGATATCAATCCGCTGGTATGTCTCATAACGTCATTCCTATGTTCTGCCTTGTTTTTTTTTTGTCGCCATCCTCGACTTCTTACTTCTTATTCTGACATCATGCCCATAGGCTTGCATTTTGAGTCCATAAATATTTATCAATATTAATCAGAGGTGCTTGCTTATTGTTGGTTTTGAGTTAATGGATCAAAATGCTTGCTTCTAGTTGGTTTGGAGTTGATGGATCAGAATTATCTGTTTCTTTTTAAGTTTCTCTCACTTATTGTAGGGGTGAGAGCTATAATTCCAACAAGTGCACGATCTTGATCTGCTTTAGTGCTATGGTGGTATTGTTGTTAATTCTCTGTTTCATTATCACTAATAATTGCTTGCATTCTTTCTTCCTCTTTTAGTTGCACTGAATATTCTTCGAGTTACTTGGAATTCTGAAATGTCTTTGACGATGTGTAACATACCAAATCTGTCTCGATTAGTACTCCCTCCGTCCTGAAATATAAGCGTATTTCATACAGGAAAAGTCAAAGCTTTACAGAATTTGACCAACAATTAGTCAAATTCTATACAAGTTTAGGACATAAAACTTGTGTCAATAGATTTATATCCAAGGAGCTTCTGAGATGATATTGATTCTTTAGCAAATAAAATATACTGCAAGAGAAATTAAGGGTCAAATTCTGTTTTGTTTGACTTTTCTCTGATCAAATACATTATCATTTCGGGACGGAGGGAGAGGGAGTAAATTTTGGTCTACTTGCCAGCTAACTGTCAAAACTAAATATGAATTATCCTGTGTCTTTTAATTGGTTATTCATTCAAATTTACGTAGTACATATAGAAAGAATGGTGTGAATAGGAAATGTTCCTTTTTTTGACAGATTCACAAATTAGAAATGTAATTCAGTGATAAAAAGATAGATTCACAAATTAGAAATGTAATTCAGTGGTAAAAAAGTTTGAATCTCAGCATGCAAGAAATCTGCCAACAATTTGAATCGTTTCTAGTCGGAGGTCAACAGTTAACTTTCGTTGAGCCAGTTGAGCATGCTAATTAAGTAGCATGTCATTGAGTCTTGAGTGTCAATTATAAACTACAGATGTGCATGGTTGAACACTTCCTGCTCTCATGTATCAGAGTCGTAAATGTTAAATCTGTCATTTTTCCAATTTTGGATTTATCTACTACTAAAAGATTTCAATGGTCATGTGTTTCTTAATTAGGAAGCTATTGCTGGAAAATGCACTGTTATATGCATTTCAAAAGACGAGAGGAATCGCCAACCTTCCCCTCGGGAACAAACAATGGCTGATTATATCTTCTATAGGTGCTTTGATGTTAAAAATTGCACACTTTCTGATGAGCTGCCTGATAAAATCACAGGGCTAGAAGGTCAGCAGAGGATCTAGACTTGATTTATGCCCTACAAATTTGTCTGGTAATGTTTTCAATTGAAGTGTCTAATTATTGTCCTTGTGGTGCAGTTAATGTTCTGCTGAATCCAAAAGACGAGCAAGTGTCCAGTGCTAGTGCAGCAAATGTTCTGCTGAATTCAAATGTGGATGAGGTTTTGGCTGCCACATTCACCGCTCCCTGTTCAGCCGCTAAAGAGGATGATGAAAGTCCGGCTACTGCAGTTCCCCTTTCTCAGGCATCAGTTAAGGAGGTGGATGAAAATCCGCCTGCTGCTATTCCCCTTTCACAGTCTGTGGTCCAGAAAGAGGATAAGAAATCAATAGCTGCCATTCCCCTTTCTCATTCAGCAGTCAAGGATGAAAAACCAGTTGTTTCGGCTCCCCGTCCACAGTTATCAGTTAAGGTCAACATTCCAAAACATGAAGAGTCACAGAAAGCTCATGCTGGGGAGAGGCCACCAAAAGGTTGAAATTATCCCAAGAAGCTACAGTGCAGGACATGGTCCCATCTATGACTGACGAAAGACCTTTGGCGCTACGATCAAGTCAAGCTGTAAATTCTTTGAACCCACTATTCCTTTATACAGCATGTTACTCCTGCTATTGTTTTCTTAGATGTTTCTGGAGTACAAACATGCTCCCTTTTTATTTAACGTTACAATCTTACAAGAATGTGAAGAGACATTACTGCATCTTTCTAAATTGCTCCATACCAAGTTTTGTACATACTTACATTTTTCCAGACCCATGTTCTGAAGTTAATGAGAGGTGGAATGAGGAGAAAAATGTAATGCAATTGTGAGCACCAGTTTGGTAGGGTATATGGTCATATATGATAGGTGGATTGAGGAGACCAATGTCCACAATTGTGATTACAAGTTTAGTAGGACATATGGTCATATTGTGCTCCTTCCATTGATCTGTTATTTGCCAACGGTCATAATCTTTATGAACTTTTAACTGTCAAATCAATTAGAGTTTTGTCCCATGTCTACTGCACACAAGCAATATTCCTCCTGTCTACGGATCATTTGTCTGATTTTTTTTCTGCTTTTGCTATACTTTCATTTTTTGCCAATTACTATTGTTTATTGTTTCTTACTGATTTTCATCATATTTCCTTTTATAATGCTAATACATTTTTCTGTTATTTAACAGGACAGAAGCAAATGGTTTAACCTTGTGAGTGACCTTTCTGCGCTACATATGCTATGATTGTACCGAAGAATGCCATATCTATGCTTGATTATCCATTATTAATCAGAATTACCATAAACTGATTACTATGTCTTGGACCTTGAATTTTATGTGATGATCTTTTTAACTAATATTTCAGCCATGGGATGACAGACTACAGAGGGCGGATAAGCATGGGACACTTGTATATATTCAAAATCTTGATATTCAGTTTGGAGGTGCTGACTTAGAGGTAGCATCCTGTCTATTTGGTTGTCATAAGCCCAAGCTTCTTCTCTATTATATTCCTGGCCTAGTATTTTTCAATTATGTGAATATCTTCTGCTGTCTGTTTGGTTGCAATTCTATTTCTGCCCACTCGTCTCCTACAGGTTTTCTTTCCAATAGTACATTCATTCTTTTCAATCTCAGTATTGGAGTATTTGTTTTATTTTATTTACTCTTACATCCCCTTCAACATTTTTTTCATGACAATAATGTTTGCAGGAGCTGGTTCGTGAAGCACTACAGCTAAGTTGCATTGCCAAGCCCATTAACCACCCCACCTGTGATGATCCAAACAATGGTGAGTTGTTCACTAGTTCAAGGGAAACACTGGGCGGTGGTGCGGGCGTGTGTGTGTGTGGGGTGGGTGGGGGGGGGGATCTCGAGGCTGGGGTGGCAGAGGGCTTTAAATGATCTAGTCTGGTGTTGACATAGAAAAGGGTAAAGTGTGATGGACCGGTGGATCTGCATCAAGGTTATTAAATCGGCTAGTCGTCGCTAGTCGCCTTGGTACCGACCAGGATGACTAGTCGATCTGGTCGGTCTAGTCATCTATATAGTCGTCTTGTATATATCAGGACATATATGTAGGGTATACATACCATATACTATATACTTATATAGTAGAAATTGAGAATCAAAATTTCTGGTTAGTTGGAGTGTCCAGAACTCCATATTCTTGTGCTGCTATAGCCTTTTCTGTAAGGGATGCAACATCTGGAGAAGCTGAGGATGCTGAACCAGAAGCAGCTGATGCAACTGATTAGCTCATCTTCGTGCTCCCTTGGACCTGCAGATAGGGAAGAGAATTGGCGAACTTCTTTGTGTCCATCGCACCCGCAACCATCCCTTGACCCCTGCTGCCCTACAGCAGGAGGGAGGAGGAAGCAGCAGGGAAGATGCACGGACGGGCAGCTGGGAACCGGAAGGGAGGGAGGAGGGGAAGAGGTGCAGCTGTTGCACACGCGCAGCAACTTTTTTGCAGCTGACAGCTGAAGGTTTCACAGGGTGAGGAGGTGAGGGAAAGAGGGGAGAGATATAGGAGAGAAACCCTAATGGGCTTGGTCCAAACAGAGTTAGCCCGTAAGTTGAAGGAGCCCATCTGCCTATTTGATGTTTAGTTGGTTAGGGTACCTAGTCGGACGATTAATCTTGACTAGTTGACAATTAATCAGACGACCAGGTTTCTGATCGCTCTGATCGAGTTGGAGTGCCTAATCAAGTGCTCGGTACTGATCAGGGCGTTGAATCACGATTAATCGTGATTAATCGGACGACCTGATAACACTGATCTGCATCCTACCTCCCAAAGTTGGACTGATATTTGGCCTGATAACCTGTCGATAGATGTATATACTTTTCCTTAATTAAATATATGTTCCATAAACGGTCAGCTTTGTCCATTTAGTGGTGGACTGGTATTTTTCTTCTTGGTTCTTGCAATTTAACTACAAGTGGTTTCTTATCTGTAGGAAAAGCATATGCTATATTCAGAACTAAAAATGATGCTGATGTGGCTATTTCAAAAATCAATTCAGGCTTGGTTGTTGGTGGAAGGTATGTGTTTATACTTGGATGTAATTTACTCTCTGTGTTCAGTGCCAATGTGTCTTATTCTTTTGAATTTTGCTTGAAGTGGGGTTCTATATGCTTTGTGTCAACTGTTGAAATCTCGTGGCAGATCAGCTGCCAAAAATTATGAATTAGATCAAAGAGTCTTCTGAGGGGATGCTCTGACTCACTGGCTAGTTAATAAAGTTTGTCTACCATGATTTTCTTGGTTACCTACTGTTAATTCTTGCCTATTTTATAACTTGCAGACCTCTCTACTGCAGCAAAGGTTTACTCAAGGTTCCAAAATCTTCAGGAACTCTTGTTGGGCACTTGACCTTACGCAATATTAAAATTGGTAAAAGACAGCGAGAAGGGCAGGTGGGTGTTTTATAATAAACTCTGTGATGTTTTCCTTTTTTCCTTTGCTTGATATTTGATGCAACTGTCTGTTCTGCAGAGTAAGGCTGTATTGACGTCACATTGCTCTCAGCCCAACACGATAGAGTATGAGATGGCCTTGGAATGGATGATTCTAAAAGAAACACACACGAAAAAATTCAGAACACTTCACGAGGTAGGCGTAATTCTGTTGAAGATTTGTATGAATGCCGTTGTCTTGTGTCTCACATGCAAGACCTTAATTTTGCATCTTCAATCGGTTTGTAGACGCATAGTGATCACAGGAAAGGGTTTGCAAGTATGGGCAGCAAGAGTGCAAGGATAGAGAAGTAGCAGGCTGGTTCTTGTGCCATATCAGATGGAGGCCTTCGTAATTATCACTTCTCAAGATGATGGGCAAGTTTCATATGTGGATTACGGTTGTGCACAGAGGGTTTTTTTGGTTGCAGTTGAATTCATTTCCTGTACTAACTGCACCATACGTTGACTGCTGATGTTAATTCTCCTTGGGAACGGAACGGAGCAAAAATCGCAGGACAGCTTTAGAAATTAGAATAGCCTAGGCAGCAGCCGTTGCAGCAAGTTCGATGACTTTAGCTTATTTAAGGCTAACAATATAGTTATTAGTTAATGTATGCCGGTGTACCAATGGCTTCCCTTTTTTTTAAATGACGTGCGTACGAGCAACTCCAGGAGATTATGTAGAATTAGGTTCCTAAATCAATGAATTGTGCACCGGCTGACCACACTCCTTCCTCTGAGCCAGCCCTCGCGCGTGCTCGTCGTGTTTGTTTCCCCGGTTGCGCCTGGGAGGCAGGTTCGCACGGGCGCCAATCAGATCATGGTAGTGGAGTGCTGTGGCGCAGTGATCTCAGATCAAATGGCCAAGCTCTTCACAAACTGCTACTACATGCTGCTTGGGACAGAAATCCAGCTGGACAGCAAACCGTGGACCCAGACCTGCTCACTGCCCCCTTCACTCTGGCTGAAGCAAAAACGGCTATTGCTGGCATGAACAAGAACAGCGCTCCGGGGCCTGATGGCTTCTGCTCGGCATTCTACTGTGCTCCGTGGAATCACATCACACCCCGGATTGAGCACCTCCTGGCATTCTATGACAACAATGTCAACTCGACAAGAATCATCAGAGCCCACATTATTCTCCTTGCGAAGAAGCATGTCGTCATCACCCCGACGCCTAGACCAATATCCCTTCAAAACCTGTCGGTCAAACTTGTTGCGCTTGATCAGACCGGCTTTTTCTAGCTAGCAAGAGACATGGCGTAGACAACTTATTTTAGAACACCGAATCGAATAGCTGTTTCTTCCAAAAAAAAAATATCTAGAATTAGACTCCATAACACAAATAGCGCCTCTCTTGGAGTTACTCAAGCCTATCGTTTTGTGTGGCATACTAAGACCCTCTAGGCTTCTTATGTTTTTCCAACTCTGGTTTTGAAGGCTTAGGCTTTTTCATTGGCTTGGGTGAAGCTTGCTAAACACTAGCTCATAAAATGGTTATGTGAGGAAACAATAGTGGGGAGATGTTTGTTTTTTTCATTAGAAGAGTGAAACCATCTAAACGTGAACATGATTTTTCTGGCATTTTAGGTAAAGCTGTTTGCAAGTGACCTTATTGCCTTACCAAATAGGGTCTAATACTATAGCTAAGCCTTTGGTTTATTTATGGTATGTTAGGTAGAGCTCTTGCTTCTAATTATTTGTAAAAGTTTTGCGCAAAAAAATTATTTGTAAAAGTGATCTTGTGGTGTGAAAGGATCAAGATGCCCAAGGGGGGGTGAATTGGGCTAATTCTAAATTTCTTTGCAATAATTAAATCATATGGTTAGCCCAATTAACCTCTTGTGCCTAGAAAGTGTTTCTAATTGTTTTACCGCACAAAAGACTTGCAACCTAAATTCCAATCCTACTCTAGCATGACAATTCTATGAATGTAAAGACAAGAATTGAATGGCTCAAAGTAAATAGAGAAGGAGGAACGCGGCGATGTTTTGCCGAGGTATCGGAGAGTCGCCACTCCTCACTAGTCCTCGTTGGAGCACCCGTGCAAGGGTGTAGCTCCCCCTTGATCCGCGCAAGGATCAAGTGCTTTCTACGGGTTGATTCTTCGACACTCCGTCGTGGTGAATCACCCACAACCGCTCACAATGTGAGTTGGATCATCTATAAGCTCTCCGGATGATCACCAAGCTCCCAATCACCACCAAACCATCTAGGTGATGGCGATCACCAAGAGTAACAAGCACGAACTCTCACTTGACCATAACAAACCTAATGAGAAGGGTGGATGCACACTTTGCTCCTCTTGATCTCACTAATGAGGGCCTTGAAAGGATCAAGATGCCCAAGAGGGGGGTGAATTGGGCTAATTCTAAATTTTCTTGCAATAATCAAATCCTACGGATAGCCCAATTAACCCCTTGTGCCTAGAAAAGTGTTTATGTCAAACAAATGCACAACAACCTCGCAACCTATGTTCCAAACTTACTCTAGCAAGCAATTCTATGGAAGTGAAACAAGTATTGAATTGCTCAAAGTAAATACTCAAAGTAAGTGCTCAAAGTAAATAGAGAGAGAAAGGAACGCAGGCGATGTTTTGCGAGGTATCGGAGAGTCGCCACTCCCCACTAGTCCTCGTTGGAGCACCCGCGCAAGGGTGTAGCTCCCCTTGATCCAGCGCAAGGATCAAGTGCTCTCTGGTTGATTCTTGACACTCCGTCGCATGAATCACCCAAAACCGCTCACAACTTGAGTTGGGTCACCCACAAGCTCCGCCGGGTGATCACCAAGCTCCCAATCACCACCAAGCCGTCTAGGTGATGGCGATCACCAAGAGTAACAAGCACGAACTCTCACTTGACCACGCGAAGCCTAATGAGAAGATGGATGCACACTTGTCTACTCTTGATTCACTAATGAGGTTTCACTCTTGGATTCTCAAATCACAAACACCTCACTAGGACCTTGCTCTTCTTGGCACTCACAAACGTGTTTCTCAAATTGTTGAATGAGCAAAAGTAACTCCACACACGAGTGGAGCTTCTATTTATAAGGCGACTGAAAAACGAACCGTTATGAGCTTCGTGGGATGACCGGACGCTCGATCATATCTTGACCGGACGCTTCCGGTCATTTCAACCAGCATGCAGCTTCCAAGTGATGACCGGACGACGGCGAGGTCCGGTTAAGCCTTCGACCGACGCGTCCGGTCGATCTTGGATGCTTACTGTAAACGACCGGACGTTGGATACACAGGGTCCGGTCACCACTGACCGGACACGTCCGGTCACACTTTCTCAAGTCTGGACCCTTACTGGAGTCGACCGGACGCTGAAGCCAGCGTCCGGTCACACGACCTTCCAGCGTCCGGTCACTCCAGACTTGTTCTCCTCAGTCAAATGAACTGACCGGACCCTGCGGCCAGCGTCCGGTCAGTATTTGACCCTCCATTCACTTCCAACTCTCGATCATATGTGAATGAAGTTAGCTCCAAAGGATCTTAGGCATTCATAGGAGCTACCTAGGGCTAGTTTTAACAAGTGTGCACCACACCTAACTCACTAGACTCAACTAGGTCAAGCTACCCGTTCATACCCCCCTTCATAGTACGGCCAAAGGAAAAAACAAAGTCCTAAACTACTCTAAGTATCTCTCCAACTTCAATTGACACTTAGAACTAGTTATCCTTAACCTTGTCGTCCATCCTTTGAAAACCGAAACGATTTCCATCGTAGGGGCATGACAACCTCAATTGCCCAATCGATCTCCATTACCATGACCTAACTTAATTGCCTCTGCAAAACACACGTTAGTCATAATAATCTTGTATTGACATTAATCACCGAAATCCACTTAGGGGCCTAGATGCTTTCAATCTCCCCCTTTTTGGTGATTGATGACAATACCTCCTCGAGTATGTTAAAGAGTGAGGTTTTTGAAGGGCTTGGTTCATATAAGCTTTTGTCGTTAAGATCAAAAGAGTTAGGCAAGCTTATATGACCCAAGCCAACACAATGTACTCAAAGGATATGAATTAAGCATGAGTACAAGTAACAAAAGCTCATTTGCTTCAAGTATAAACGCGAAGCAAAAGCAAATAAGCATAACACAAGTGATATGACATATAGATAATGCAAAGTAGAAATCACACATGTCAAATATCACAAGCACGTAGATAGCACTATCACATATATATAATAGTATGCATGAAAGTAAACACACGAATGCACAAGTAATAGTGTATCACACAAATAGAACTCCAAATGTATATAATAGGCTAATACTAGATAACTAGCTCCCCTAAATGTAGCTCCCCACGAGACTACATACTCGAACACCCTCTCCCCTTTGGCGTCCAAACACCAAAACCTAGGGGTGGACGGCCGAGGCTGCAGTGGACGACAGCCGGGCAGTATTTGAAGAACGAGGGCAAGCCGGAACCGGGCACCATCATCATCGACCACAGAGCTCACGAACTTGCTTGCATCCGCTCAAGAATAGCAATGAGAGCGGGTCATGCTCATGGAGCAGTGGAGCAGAATCGAGCTACCGGCCTCAGCATCGTGTCTGCGTGGAGGCATCGAGGTATATAGGCCGGTAGTCGTCGTCGCCGAGTTGTCACCATGACTCGGTCACCTCCTGCTGTGCCTCTAGCTCCTCCTCCTCGGTGGGTCGCAATCCCTCGATGATCTCATCTTGCTGAAGCCATGGACTCACACGTCGGACGACGACGGCTAGGGCTGTCTGGGTGCTGAGGAGTGGTGTGTCCGATCCTCTCGTGACGGGTTGTAAGTCGGGAACTCTGTGGTGGCACCAGTATACTCATCCATCATACCGGGGGGCTTATCACGCACTACTCTGCGGATAAGAAACGTGATCCGGTCAAGCATAAGGAAGTCACTGCGACCCTTAAATCCTCGGCTATAGTGTCCTCCATCTCTGAAAGAAGGAGGTCCCAGATATCAAATCATCTGCTCACGATCGGGGCATTAAGAAGCCGAGTCAGCGGCGAGTCAGCCCCTCTCTATATCCCAACTCGGGAAGCAATGTCCTCCCGATAATAGCCTCTAGCACTCTTGCTGTGGGAGTCAAGTCACTGGGGTTCCTCCTCGACCCCTCTCCAAAAGGCTCCTTGAAGCAATGTCGCACTAAATCTGTAGGAGGCACCAAACCTCCGTGAGGACGCCTGGGAGGCTCCTGCTGTCCATAACAGACCTCATGTATCTTGACAGGCTGCTCCTATAGCCTCAGTATCTCTCTGACCCTGTCACTCGTCACTCTGTAGTCTTTGCCTCTGAAAGCAAAGTGAATAA